GCTGAAGGGATAAACTTTCATCATGGCTGTCAGAGACATCACTCCTGCCTCGTTTGATTTTAAATCTACCTAATTGTGACAGAACGCTCCAACATAATTAATTAAACATGTTTTCATTTAGGAGCACTCGCAGGGCAACAAGCTGGATGCTCAGGATCAACTGCAGAAGTGCAAAGCTTCATTTTTCGTTCATTAAAAGTGGATATTAGTGCTTTTGCTTGCGTCTGTTCCTCATTTACAAGCAGGTTGTTTGATTATTGTGTTTATTTATGGCGTTAGGAATTCATTTGGTGATATTTTTTTCCCTTTGCATGAGTACATCTCACTTAAGTGGCAATAAAAACAAGGGATTTCATATTTCTTCTGACCTGTGTCTGTATCACAGCTAATGATAGCTAACATTAGCCCGACTTCTGTGTAGAAGTTATCACTAAGTAAGGAAAACTCCCAAGTCAGTGAGTTTAAATAGCTGTAAACTGTTACAAAGACCTGAGTCAACAGATGCAAAAGAGGCAACTTGATATATATTTTTAAATTGTAAACAGTAAAAATTGGGATCTGTACAAAAATCCTAACTCAGAATCAGCCTTGAAAATTACTGTTTTAACACCGGCTTGCTTTTGTCGAGCAGCAACCGGAGGCAGCGTGATAATTGTGGACTTTAACCGCTTCTTAAGGGAGTAAAAAGCAGCCGAAATTAATTTAGCCAACAACAACTACAAAAAACAGCAGGGCTTATTCTTAGAAACCCTTCTATTATTCACAAACTGTTTATGATTTATTTTTAATGCTTTGCCTTAATTTTTTTTTTTTTGGGGGGGTGGCCCACATATCGGTGGAAGATGGAGCACAAAGGGAAGGAGAGAAAAAAAAATTAAAAAGAGAAGGATGGGGGGAGGGGGACGAAGCGGCAAAGAGGAGAGGGGAATTGTGTCCTCTCATTGTTCAATTAAGTCTGTCGGTAATGATCAAGATGAGATGATGGCCGCCTTCCTTTTTATAGATACTAATCTGTGGCTGTCCATGAAGTAAGAGAATGGCAGGGGTTGGATGGGGGGGGGGGGGGGGGTATGGAGACTTTGTTGCTGCAATAGACTGTAAAACGCGTTTAAAAGGGTTTTGCTGTTATTGTGCTGCGTGTGATTTATTGTAATAGAGGGCACTTCCCACTGTCAGGTGATTACCTTAATGTATCGTCCACGGTTGCAAAGTTCACAACGAGCACTCTGACTGGCATCGAGGTCTAATCGATTTCATTGCTATTACTGAACAGAAATAAATAAAGCTGATGGCTGTGGTTAGGGTAATTATGCCACAGCACGGTGGATCGTTTGATTTTCCTTATTAATTGTATTTATTTAATCCATTTCATGCTTTTAGTTGTGCACTCTGGGACCTGGAGGGAACGAATAAATCACTCTCAGGCTCATTAGATTCCCCCTCTGGTTGGGACGTGCCACTATTTTGTCAGAATCAAATTGGCGTGCGTTATAATTTCCCGCTGGTGTGATTCACATTCAAAAAGAAAAAAAAAATCAACACTCTCTTCTAGTAGCTTGCATGCACACGTGCGCACCCACACACACACACACGCATGCATGTGTCTGCTCCCCATCTGAACTCCTGACCTTTTCCAGCCGTCTGATGGCCATTGACATTTGCCTCTTGAGCGGAGCTTGCTCACGTTTTGGAGCTGATGGAAATGGATGATGTTGTTGCTGGAGGAGAGAAAGAAAAGTAGGGAAAGGGTTGGAGGAGTGGGGTGGTTGTGAAAAGGAAGAAGCCTCCCCCCGTGTGGGCCCCTGGAATCCATCTGGACCCCCTGCTCGGCAGAAAGGTCACGGGGCGACTCTGACTCGCATCCTCTTCACAAAAGGAGCCATCGCCGTGACCTGAGAGTGTTCAGCTGCAATATGGCCGTCCTGCTCCGTCACGCGGCCTGTCGTTTCCCTTCACTGTCCACAGCGGTCGTAGAGGAGGCACGCTGTGTGTGATAGACGTATGAGCGAGGTGGCGTGAGCTTCGTCTTTGTCCTTGAAGACAGTGGAAGGAATGGAGGGACGCACCTGGTCTGATGTTTTCAGCACCTCTGGAGAAAATCAGGACAGTCTGCTTCTTTTCCAAGGGAGCCGTCTGGTGGCAGGAAGAGGCAGGGCAGAATGACTGATCCACAAAGTGAGGGACAAACACCTGAGTCTTTAAAGATGGGACTGTTGTTGGTGCATTTTGCATCTTTTTGTCATGGCAGGTGAGGTTCAGAGGAGTATTTCATAAATTTGGGTTCAGACAACATCTGGAACATTGCCTCCAGTGTGCGGTGTAATGCTGGATTCATTGCACCAGTGGAAGGCAACACTTTGAGCGCAGCGTTTTTGTTGATACAGTAGTCCCTTGTTTATTGTGGGTGTTAGGTTCCAACCCCCCCTTCCCGCAATAAGTGATAATCCGTGACGTAGTAACATTATATATATATATTAAGGCTTTATAAACCCTTCCCACACACTTGCAATGTTTTAAACTTTTAAACCTACGTCATTTTAACAACATATGTACAGTACTGTTTATGTAGCTACTAAATTTTACTTACCAGGCTCTGCAAAACAGGAGCAGCTCTCGGTTCCAGTCCAACTCTGTTCTGGTCCGACTCGGTTCCATTTGTACAAACCTACCCTGCAGCAATGAAGCCCAGAATCAATGTTATAAACTCTTAAACCTACTAATTTTAACAACATACGTATAGAGCTGTCATTTCTAACCCAAAGCCTGGCCCCGCCAGACCCGGATTTGGACTGGGCCGGGCCATAATAATGTGCTTAATGTGCGGTCCGGGTCGGTGTCGGGCTGTTTATTATGTCAGGGACACGTGCGGCCGACGATCCAATGTATGCAAGCATGGCTTGCAGCACAGGATTACACTACACCTGCCACATGCGGCCATTTCACCGTGTGCTGACCGGCTGGTTGAAAGAGATAAAAAGTTCAGTTAAGCTTCAGATGGACTACTGCCAGCGATCCATCAGCTCAAATGGACATTCATTCAGCCGCGGCACTCAGAGGATGCATGCGACCGAGACCCAAACAGGTGAGATCACAAAATATCTGTCCTGTCTGAGCAGGATGCAGGCAGAAGCAGGGGAAGCATTTAATGCACTTTGAAGGCTCCTCAGCTCCGATCTTCAACCGTTAATAATAGTCGGTGGTATAAACAGTCAAAACTTAATTAAAAATTTCGAGGGGGGAGGGTTTGGGTTCAGACCTGTAATTACTGTTAATTTGTCGGATCGGGTGGAGTTCGGAAATGATGGCTGCGGGCTGGGGCTAGGTCGGTTCAGATTATTTGGACTGGAGTGCAACTCTACATTCGTATCTGTAGCTACTAAATTTTACTTACCAGGCTTTGCAGAACAGGAGCAGCTTGGTTCCGGTCCAACCCGAGAGTTGAAAAAAGTCCCGATGGGTTCCGGAAACACCCTTGACCTACGGTGGCGCAAACCTGCTTTGAAGTCCTCATGGGCCAACTACCAGCTCTCAAAGTTCACCAATGGGTCTGGAGGTCTGGTTCTGCTCTGGTTCTGGTCTGCTTTGGTGGGTTCGGTGCAGCTCTGCATTCGCTGGGTGCCAAAGTCACTTTAATAAGCACCAACCTTTTTCCGTTCAGATCAAAACTTTACCTCTACAGCAGAAGGACACAGGGCTTCTGGGCGGGGCACTGTTGACTTCTGGGACGTGTAGTCGTTATTAGGCCTGTCACAATAACAAATTTTGCTGGGCGATTAATTGTTTCAGAAATTATTATGATAAACAATAATATTGTTTGAAATTTGACAATAATTAGTAATTATTGTCAAATTTAAGAAGAAATGTGGATTAATTTTATTTTGAGTGCAGTACCTTTTTTGACCATGGCTAATAAGATGGCAGTATAAGACTGTTGGAATTGAAGGATGGATAGTGAGGCTTCGACAAGACGGAGTTTTTTTCATGAGGTCGGCCTGTTAGCTTAGCTCGTAGCTTAGCTTCTCAGCTTTGCTGCGTTTAACGATCCAAAAATGTGATTTTGGACGGTTAAAATTGATTTTAAAGAGAAAAGAGAAAGGGAGGGGTCAGTGAAGAGCAACGGAGTTGAGCTCTGTCATCCAGTGTCTTCAGTAGAAAGAGAGAGACACGAAGAAACAATAAATCTGATAAATTAAAATGAGTCAATAATTTTAATTTATCATGCGATTAGTTGATTTATTGTTTATCGTGACAGGCCTAGTCGTTATGAGAGAGAATACAGTGTAGTTGAGAGAAAACTACAAAATGACGATGCCTGTCTGAAGTATTTTATTGTTTTGTTAACTTTTACTGTACAGCAGTACTGTCCCAATCATGTGAGTAATATTAAAGCTGACAATCATGTTTCTTGTACAAAAAAAGTTAATGTGCATTGACAAACTGTGATATAGCAAGTCTGCAAAAATCAAACCGCAAAGTAGCAAAGGACTATGGTATTTACACCAAATGAGGAGAAACAATCCTGTGCTGTATCAGATTTGAGGAAAAATAATGATCACTGAGGCTGAGGGGTGGAAAATATTATCTATTTTACTTTATTATAATAAATGTATTTTGTGCAAGTGTAGTGCATCAAACTTGTGTTATTAGTTTGTTTAAAATGATTAAAGCCATCAGCTAAACCAGCAGCTAAAATCTTACCGTCAACGGTGGGTACAACAACCAAAAATTGATGAACTCTGCTTGAGATCTGCTTTAATTTTTACATGAATTAAAAGCTCGAATCCAGGAAATTATAGTTTTATGGTCTAGCTGAGGTGCCAGACTCGATGAAGCTGCACAATTTTATGACACAGACTTGAACCTTTTTTAACGACGGCCATATTTCAGGACGTTCACTTTGTAGGTTCGAGCAGGAGGAGCAGTTAGGATTTCTTTAATTTTCTTTGGTCTTTTTAAAGACTTGTGTTTTATTTTTATGTGGCCTTGCTGTCTCTCTGCAGTTCTTAGTATCCGTGGCGCCCAGGAGGAGGAGCCTCCAGATCCACAGCTGATGCGACTCGACAACATGCTTCTGGCGGAGGGCGTGGCCGGGCCGGAGAAAGGCGGTGGGTCGGCGGCTGCGGCAGCCGCTGCGGCGGCCACCGGCGGCATCGGTGCAGACAACTCAGCAGAACACTCAGACTACAGGGCCAAGTTGTCTCAGATCCGACAGATCTACCATACGGAGCTGGAGAAGTACGAGCAGGTGGGAACCAGATAGAACAGCCCGTGCTTTTATCTGTTCATCTGTTTATACTCGACTTTCTCACACAAAAACTTTTACTTCCCAGCCTCTGAAACAGATAAAAGTATCAAATACCCCTTTGGATTTTAGATTTTATGCATTTTCCAGAATAAGCATTCAGCTGCTGTTCATAAACATTCCTTATCAAATCTTATTTGTCATATTTAAAAACTAAAAACTTATATAACGCAGAAAAACAATCCCACTTGAATTAGTTCACGCAGACCAAGCTTTCACATGAAGTGATTTTGTTTAAATTGCCTGAAAACCTTTTAACTATTTAAATATTCATTATAGCCTTTGCTTTTAAAAGTAAAACAACCCAAAGTTTTAGGTTTTGTCTCAAGATGTAACGAATCTTCAAAGTTTTAACAAATGTGTTCAAGTTATGTAATACGTATAAATTGTTGACAGGTACAGATGGTGATGGTTTTTTTTTTTGCCCATTAGTCAACATGAGTTTGTGTTTATAGTGAAAAAATGTGCAGTCAAGTTTAATTAAAGAAACAAAAATGAGATATAAACAGCATCTCATTTGAGCGTTAAATTAAGGTATTTCTATGTTTAAATGGATTTTTAGCTTTTTTTGTTCAGATCTTGAACTAAACGTTAAGTGCTTTTTTGCTTACTGGTGCCATCTGTTAACCCTTGGAGTATCTGTTTTGGATGACTCTCAGCTACTACCTCACCAAATTTTAGCTCAATACCTGTAAAACTGACTGAATTATAGCCATTTTTGTGTTGGCTAAAGCTGATTAATGGTGGCAGCCATCTTGAGTTGGGTTAAGTCCAAATGGTAATCAAGTGTAGATGCGCATTAGGTGATTACTTTCCAAGAGTTTCATTTAAATCCAACTAGAGAAATTGCATTTCCTGCAAAAATGCAGTGTGAATGTTTATTGCAGAAGAACTTGCTGAAAAACTGCTGAAATTAGCTAAAAAAAAAAAAACATGCTGAAACGTGGCTGAAAATGTAGAATACATGTAAGTCAGCAGGAGAAAGTAGAAAGAACACAAAGGTTGAAATGAGTGCAAAAATGGAATTAGCTGAAAAAGCTAATATTAGCATACAACAGTGAAATAGTAGCTGAAATACCTGAAACTAGCAGAAATAAGCTGAAAGGGGCATAACAAATTGAAATTAGCCAAAATAATTTAATTAGGCTGAAAGTAGCAGAAATTACCATGAAAAACTTGGATTTATCTAAAAACAGCTGAAATTAGCTACAGTAAATAAATGCTAAAAATGTAGCTGAAATGGTAGAACAAGCTTAAATTGGCAGAAAAAGGTAGAAAGAACACGTTTGCCCAATTAGGCTGAAAGAAGCAGAAATGAGCACAAAAAGTGGAAATTACCTAAAAAAAAAAACCTGAAATGAGCATAAAACCAGTTGAAAATTAGCTTAAAAAAGCAGAAAGAAGCTTAAATTACCAGAAGGAAGTGGAGAGAGCACATTTGAGCTGAAATAGGATGAAAAAAGTTTAAATGACTGCAAAAAAGGTAAAATTAGCTGAAAAAGCTGAAATTGGCATAAAAACAGCTAAATATTAGCTGATATACATATATATATATATATATATATATATATATATATATATATATAGGGAGAGAGAGAGAGAGAGAGAGAGAGATGAAGCAGCAATAAGCTGAAAGGAGCATAAGCTGAAATTAGCAGAAAGAAGTTAGAAGAAGCACAACAATGCTGTAGTTAGCAGAAAGATTCTGAAACTAGCACATAACAGCTGAAAAAATAGCTAAAATCAGCTGAAGGTAGCTGAATTAAAAAAAAAAATCACAATAAGGCTGAAAGAATCTGAACCAGAACAAAATGTGAAAGGAGCAAAAAAAGGTTGTAAACAGAACTAAATATTTGAAGGATGTAAAATGAGCTCAATTCATTTTCTTTGAGAACAAAATAGCAGAAAAGGCTAAATATTTCAAAACGCTAAAGTTGCACCAGTGTCAAAAGCCATAGCAGGATTGTCCTGAAAGAATTGAACCTTTTGATTTTTGATTTGTTGAAATAGCACAAAAACTGTGGAACGAAAAAGATGCTGAAAAATGTACGGAAGAAAACTGGATCACAATAGTGTGAATGCTTCATAAACATTCACACTATTAGTGGTTCATGAGATATTTTGCCAACACAGCAGACAACTGAACACACATAGATACAAACACAGGCGGTTACATTATCACCTGCCTTTTGGCAGCATGACTGTAGAATGGCAATAATGTAGCATCATAACCCCCTAGTATGTTTTGTGTCACCTTGCACGACTAAACAGAAGTAAAATGAGGTCAACATCGGATGATATAAAACTATGTTTTTAGTCTAACAGTACAATTCTCCTGAAATCAGCACTTACAGAACGACTCCTGACAAACGGAGGCGCCTTCTTTAGCAGGCGAGCAGCCATTATATCAGTCACACCCCAGCTCTCTTCCAAAGACTGAAACATCTCGTCATTCCCTCGGAAGTCAAAGCGTTCTGGGTTTGTCATCTTCTCCGAGGAAGGCTAGTCATCGCTAACTGTCACAGTCAATATACACCTGAGCATTTTTGTGTCACCGCGCTATGTACACCCTGAGTGCGCCGTGTCTGAGCGTGCGCGCGCGAGCAGAACGGCAGCTCGGTGGATCACTTTGACTGACGTAACCCTGGTGTTGACAAGCAACAGACACCTGGACTCTGAATGGAGTCATATCCAGTGACTGATTCAGACGCGGGAAGAGGTAGACGGAAAGATGGAGTGAAAAGAGACGGAGACAGTTTAAACCTCTTGAACGTGAACGGGGCTGAAAGCCTTCTGTCATTTTAGATTTCTCTTCACTTGTCACATTTTCTCTCCCATTGAAGAGTAGTCTTTTTAATATTCAGAGCGCCGCGAGGAGCGCTGCCTCCGCCGTGTGACACCTCTGCCACGTTTGTTTGGCTTGAAACGGTGGCCTGCGCCTGCTGCTTTAATTCAGACTGTTCTTATTACCTCCAACACCGCCGCCGTTACACTGTCAGCACTGCTCGCGTGGAGTCAAGGCCCACCGGTGAATCTGCGGCAGCTCCAGAATCCAATTTCGTCCTTTTGTTCTGTCTGAAGCTGTCGAGGCCCCTGCGATAGTTATTCTTCTTATGAATCCTGTCTGTCTGTGCATCCAGGCGTGCAATGAGTTCACCACCCATGTGATGAACCTGCTGAGGGAGCAGTCTCGAACACGACCCATCTCGCCCAAAGAGATTGAGCGCATGGTCAGCATCATCCACCGCAAGTTCAGCTCCATCCAGATGCAGCTCAAACAGAGCACCTGCGAGGCCGTCATGATCCTGCGCTCACGCTTTCTCGATGCGAGGTCTGTTACCGCCACTCAGATTCAATTTTCGTTTCCCATTTAGCTTCGAATTTATACATAATTTTCTTCTTTTATTTATATGTATTAACTCACTAGCCTCATATTGTTCTTTTATCTTTGAATCTTTTTTGATAGAGGAAAGGAGTTTTATTAATTCATACAGTAAAGTGTCGTCTTTTGTGTTTGCTTGTGTCCAGACGGAAGAGAAGGAACTTCAACAAGCAGGCGACAGAGATCCTGAATGAGTATTTTTACTCCCACCTCAGTAACCCCTATCCAAGTGAGGAGGCCAAAGAGGAGCTGGCCAAGAAATGTGGCATCACTGTGTCACAGGTAACAATAAAAAAAAAAAACAATCTTACTGGAGCTTCCTGTTGTAAAACTCAGGTTTACTTTTTTTTTTTTTAAGTGCTAGGTTAGAATCAGTTTCAGGGTTGGAGCTGAGACGTTAGTGAAAGCTTGTAAAATTAGTAACATTTGACAAAATGATTCTTACTAAACTCAAATAAAACTGCAGTCATCATATTTAAATAGCAGATGTTCTATTATTTGATTTTTTTTGTGTGTGTGTGTGTGTGGGGGGGGGGGGCTGACAGTGTTTTAGAGCTTCGTATTGTAAAGAATCATGATGAGCTGTGTCCAAGCAACAGTGCAGCTCCATTAATCAAACAGTTTTTAATTGTGAAGATCAAAATAAATGTCACAGAGGCAACTCAGGTAAAGATTGAACACCTTAAAGGCTCAGAGTATGTGTTGTGGATAACTCTCAGCTACTACCACGTGAAATTTTAGCTCAATGTCTGTTAAATTAACTAAGTAATAGACATTTTTGTTTTGGTTGAGTTGATTTTTGTTTTAGTTGTGGCGGCACTCATAAGTTGTATGGACCCTAAAAGTCAATTAGTTCTAGATGTACATCTATTGTTTAATGGCAAATTTTTTTAAATATCTTGTGCAATCTGTTAGTGCAGCTCAGAATATGTGTTTGGGATCAGTCTCAGCTTATTCTACACCAAATTTGAGGTCAATGTGAAATTGAGTCATAGCAGTACACTAAATAATTCCTTTCTGCAACCTTCAATTAAATTTATCAACAGCTTCATGAAATATTTGATAACATGCACGCAGGCAAAAGCATTACTGTCAGCAGACAATAAAAAAGAGGAAAAGTAAGAAGAACTAGAGAAATTGCATTTCCTGCAAAAACGCAGCATGAATGCTTTTTTGCTGAATGATTTCTGCTGAAAGCTGCAGAAGTTGAAAGCAGCTGAAAAGGTTTCATCGCTAAACTGTTCATGCGAGTTGAATTTGAACAGCTGACATTTGCTGAAAGCAGGAAAATAAAAGTGGTAAGCAGCAGAAATGAGTAGAAATAACTAAATAGAGCAGAAATGTAGCAAAAATGAACATAAAAAGGCTGAAAATATAAAAAGAAGCTGAAAGGAGCATAAAATGGCGAAATTATTTGACAGAATCATACAAGGTGGAAAATAGTAAATAAATAACAGAAAAAAAATACTAAAATTAAATTCAGTTCATTTATATAGCGCCAAGTCACAACAGAAGTCATCTCAGGGCACGGAACAGAAACATTCATTTACATAAAGTTAACATTAATCATCTGAGGAGCAGACTGCTTTGAATTTAACATCATCGCAGAACTCGCATCTTAAGCAAGCATGAAGGAGACAGTGGAAAGGAAAAACTCCCTCATGAGGAAGAAACATTTTAGCAGAACCAGGTTCAGGACAAGAGACAATCTGCTCCAACCGGCTGGGTTTGGTAGGAACAGATACACAATGGCAGGTCAAGAATCACAGGTTAAGATAGAAATAATATCAAATGAAAACTATTCAATTTTAACAATTCATTTAAGGAAATGAGGTCAATTTGTCAAGAAGGAAAGTCTTAATCCCAGTCTTAAAACTGGACAATGTGTCAGCCTCACGGACAGAAACTGGAAGTTGGTTCCACAAGAGAGGAGCCTGATAACTGGAAGATCTTCCTCCCATTCTGCTTTTGGAAACTCTAGGAACTGCAAGTAAACCCGCAGTCTGGGAGCAAAATGCTCTGTTAGGAAAATATGGAACAATAAGATCTCGAATATAAGATGGAGCTAGGTTGTTGAGGGCTTTGTAGGTCAGAAGTAAGATTTTGAATTCAATTCTGGATTTGACAGGAAGTCAATGGAGAGAAACTAAAACTGGAGAGATATGATCTCTCCCACTAACTCTAGTTAAGACTCTGGCAGCAACATTATGGATTAAGTGAAGACTTTTTAAAGAAGTATTTGGACACCCATATAACAAACCATTGCAATAGTCCAGTCTGGACATGACAAATGCATGAACCAGTTTTTCTGCATCACTTTTAGTTTCTAATGTTTCTAATGCATCATACACCAAAACAAAATATAGCAGCCTAAAGATCCTATAAAATAAATCCCCCAAAAATGACAAAATATTGTTTCACACTGCTGAATTCTGTGCCAGTTCTTCTAGCTGAAAGGCTGCGTCTCGTTGAAAAGCGCATTCGTCCAAAATATGTGCAGCCTCCTGCACTTCTAAAGCTCTGTCCATCCTGGCCAAAACACAATTCAGATCCTCACGCTGTTTCTGGTCCTCTTCTTCCGCCCAGAGCATCTGGGACAGTACTGATGTGATGTCCGCTCCTGTGCAGCGTTTCTTGTGAGAAAACACTGCAAAATTTGCAGAAACTTACTGAAAAAGCTGAATTTAGCAGAAATGAGCTGAAGGAAGCTGAAATTAGCACAAAGATGCTGAAAACACTGAACCAGAATAAAAGCTGAAAGGAGCAGTAAAATGTTGTAAACAACAAAAAAGGGTTGAAGGAGGTGAAGAGAGCTCCATTCATTTTCAATGAGAACAGCATGGCTGACAAAGCTAAATATTTCCAAAAATCAGAACTTGCACAGAGACCAAAAGTCATAACAGGAAAATGTTTTGATTGTTCAAATAGCACAAAAATTGCAGAACAAGTCACAAGTCGAAAAATGTACAGAAGACAAAAGGATCTCAATTTGCAATTAAACAGCTTGGATGGCCAGTAAAATGATACATTTAACTGGGATTACATCATCATAATTATATATATATATGGACAA